TGCTGAACCACGAACGATGGGAAACAGTTATTGGGTCTTCACGGGGGATAATCCCAGGCTGTGAAACTGCTCTGTGCCCAGTCCACAGGGTCCCCCCTTCCCAAAAAGCCCCAAATCTCATTTCACATTTAGCATCTTGCATGCAGAAAAATGCAACCACTGGAGGAATTTCAGCTGCCATGAAATCTCTCTCATCGCATCTCCCCAGCAGCCAGCACCGCAGCAAATCCATTAGCAGCCTGCTGGCATCCCTTCAGTGTTAGGAGGGTTTTGGGACCTGCTGGGGAGTTTCTTTCCTAAAGGGGAGAGGGAAACAAAAAACCAAAGGCACATAGCCCTCTGTCCCCTCTAATGCGGAGGAAAACATTGCAGGTTTGGGTTTTAAAGAGCCACGAGGAGCAGGGCACAGAGGGAGATGCTGGTGGCTGCCCAGCTCTTCATGCCTGGCACAGGACCTCAGTCCTGACCTGCATGTTCTCAGCTGTGCAAAGTTTGGTCACTTGGTCGTTCCCAGTCCGTGGGTACGGCCATGCGTGCCCAGAGCAAGGCCTGATCCTGCTCCTGCAGCCAGTCTGGTGCAAATGGACCCGTTCTCTTCTGCCATGGGGTGTTTTCCATCCCCTTTTCAACACCACATCAACCTCATCCTTGAAACCTGCTGCTACGTACAAGCTCTGACTTGGGCTTGCAAAAATGTATGAAAAGCTTTTACCAGAACAACACCTGCTCTTCAGAGATACACACTACTGACGATGTTTTACGAGGAGTTTGAATGACAGACCAAAAGGCAAGATTTTATTTTGGGTTTTAAAGCATACAGTCATGTAGCAACCAAGGCAAAGTATTTTTGAACTGCTTCCAGCTTTGGAGCTACTGAGGTTCCTCATTTTCATCTATAAACAATTAAAAAAACCAAACCACCCTATAATGCAGGCTGAGTGGGCTGTAGGTTATTAGCAGCCAAGGCTAAAAAAAGTTAGAGGAGAACATGTTAGCTACCAGGCAAATAGCATTAAACCTTCAGAAGGCTGATGAATATTCATTGACATGACGGATCAAAATCAAAACACGGCACTCTGGCAGGTCGTGGGAGCTGCAGACAGCACAGATTGCACCGTCAGAACAAAGTCCAGCTATGCAGCCTTCTCCTTCCCTGCAAATCCTACAGAAATCAGTTATTCATGGAGAAAAACTGACAGCCTCTGGCAACCTGGAAGCTTGCGTTAAGGAGAGCAGAAGGGACTGGTTCCATGCAGCATCACACATTAAGTGTCCTGCTCCCGCCTCCCATTTATACCTTCAAGCACTAATTAGATCAATAAATTTAAGTCAGATTGCGATCTAATAGTGCCTTCTGGCCTTTACTATTGAGCAGGCCAGAATAAATTAAGTTTAATTGCCCCTGTACATACAGAACCAGGGAAGATAAGATGGAAGGGTCATTGAGGGAACTTCTAGCCAAACCCTAAATACCAAGGAAGGACTGATGGGCCTGAATCATTCCCAAATAACTTCGCTTTCACAGAAACAAGGGTGGAAATGCGTGTAGGATTTCACTACACGGATGATGTGTAGGGGTGGGCTCAGCCTGAAAGACCAGGGAGAGGAGGAGGAGGAGAAGGACCTTAGCCCACGTATACCACCAAGACCAACCAGGGGCCCCACGCAGGACAGAGCCCATGGGCTGCAGCTCAGCGATGAGGAGAGAGATGAGTTTTGTTGTTTATCCCAGCCCTAAAAAAAACCACCAAGCCTACATTGCCCTGAGCAGTGCTTAAATGGAATCAGTCATTAGGAGAAAATTGGACCCTGGTGTCGCTTCCGCCTTTGCTTTAAGGAAAGGAGAGCAGCAATTACTACTTGCATATTCAACAGCCTCCTCAGCAAGCTAAATTAGCCCGCGTGGAGCAACATGTTGCCAAAGCCTGTCTGTGACCGATGCCCCAACAAGCTGGTTTAAAGCCAGCAGCAGTATTGCAGCGTTGCGGTCTGCAGCCTAAAAATACCCAGCAAGGGTACAAACACATGCAAAGGAGCATGCACGCTCCCCTTCACACCCGCCTCCAAACCCGCCCAGAAGCTCGGAGCTAAATCCTCAAATATGAATATTAGTGTGTTGTTCCTCTGGCTCCTCTCCCATCCCCTCCCAAAAGAAGGATGCAAGATCCCGAGCGAGCTCTTTCTCAATGGCGAGCTTTATTTCAGTGCGTTGCACAAGAGGAGAGTATTTTTGTGCAATTGCAGTAATGCTCACTGACCGTCTCTGCCAAGCCCTGACCGATTTTGGCATCTTGGGCCATGTCAAGCTTTGCCTTCTCCCACCCCACAGAGTTTCGGCGCAGCCTGGGATGCTCCCAACCGATGGAAATTTTCTGACTCTCTTCCATCTTTGCGAAGTGACCTCCTTGGTTAGCGGTGGCCGGGAGTTGCTGGGCCTTGGCAGGCAGTTTTACAAGACACCGTCACCCCCACCAAATGCTAGAGCAGGGTGTCCTGGACCACTTTTTACAGCACATAGAAGGCAGAAATTTGGCATCCCACATATAGCACCCTATGCTTGTTCCATCCCACCATCCCAATGGTGCACCCTCCATCAGTGCTTCTCCCCATGCATGTAACACCCAGCACACAGCACAGTGCTGGTGTGCACATCAAACCCGCTCATTACTTTGCATTATTTTTTTAAACAAACAATTCTAAAATATTTTCCTCCCATGATAAGTCACGTCCAGACCTCCACAGCAATAAAAGCTAAATGCTCCCACGACATTTTTCAGACCAGCTGTATATTTGAGGCATCTCCTGAGAAACAGCAGAGCCTTCCCTGGACATGTTTTGATTTTTCACCTTACAGACCCAAGACAGCCAGCACCCTCCTTGGCCTCACCCGCTAACCCAACCTCTTCTCGGGTTCAGTCCCGATTGTGAGTCCTCTGAAACATGTGTGCCGTGCTCTGCTCATCCGATCAGGCAGCAGCGTTTGGGCTTATCCCACTCAAGAGGTCTCTGTTTCATATTTGCACCGAAGCCAGTGCAAAGAAACTCTTTTTAATGAGGGGGATCCAACCGTTATTTAATTTTAAAAATAAAATGTTTGAAATTGAGCCCTTGTGTGGATGAAAAGCTCAGAAACAGGATTGCTTTCCCCTAAGCAGGAGTCATCTTCCCTCCAACGCAGAAGCCCAGAGGACTTGAGCCCATAACCAGCACCTCCAGCAGATCCCGCGCTGAGCACAGTGCCGGCATCCCCAGCATGGCTGTTCCTGTTAAAAGCACCAGGATGATTTTTTGGCCACAAGCTCCCATGCCAATTTCAAAAATCCCTTCCTCCAGCATAAAGCTGTTTTCAGGCACAGGCTGCACAAGAGGGGAATGTTTGTGTTTGGTAGAAATCTGTGTGTATCGGCAGGAAGGGGAAAAACCCCAAAACACGTAGCTAAAAGGCTTTAAACTGTTTGACGATTGCCTTTTCCCCCTCCAT